GTGGTTTCCTGCTCGTGACAGTCGACACTTTTGAATTTCCAAGAACGTGTGAGACTCCAAATACGTCGACAGTTACGAGGATGGCAACCGTGACCCCCGCGATCCCTGTGACAGTTGACACTTTTCGTATCTAAGAGCCCAAAAATGATGACAGATACAAGGAAATGAGAGGGGGGGATCGAGCCAAACATTGGAAAAAAAAAATGGAGCCAAACCTTGAAAAAAAACTCCACCCCTTAGTGTTTAGGGTTTAAGGTTTAGGGTGTACGGCTTCCTCACAATAATTTTCCCCTAGGGTCGAGGGTCTAGGTAAATTAGGATTTCACAAGCTGGGGCGTTTGAGGGGAATATGAGGTCCTTATCTGGGGTTTGATAAGGAGTATTTTTAGGAATAGCCACGTGGTTGAATACTCCAAGCTTCGGACAAGCGACAACCCAAGTATTCTTTTTTAACGCATGTATAAGTATAATCCCCTCCCCTAATATTAAATTCCTCCAGCCCTTGAAATATTAGATACTCCCATTGTAGTAACGTATAATATATTGGGAATATTTATTAGCAAAGGGGGGGAGGCTAATTTTAGGGGGAAGGGGGTTTAGATTGGATTATAATTACCCCATGCCGTGCCAAGACTTGCAAATACCCCTGACAATGCTATTTTACCCCAAATTACTTCGCATTAAGGCTACCATAGGTATATGGGAGGTCTTTCATTTGGTTTAAAAGACATGCATTGAAGATGAGATTTATTCTGAAACAGCCCCGTAAAAGGGCTTGTGTGAAAATCGTTGTTTTCCGATGAAGCGCAGCCCACACAAACATGCTTGTAGAGGAGCCGCTTTAAATCCGTGTGCGACGTAGCCCCTTCCTCCTGCTCACTTGGCAGGTTTCCAACCAGAAGGAGCCTGATGCCAAATGCTTGCAAGTATTCACTTCCTGATGGTTCCTTTTTGTGCCTAGACCTCCAAAAAACTCAAAAAGATTTCGGTTCATTCCAAAACAATGTGTATAAAGGATGCTGTTGTGGGGATTCTGGGAGGTGTGGGTGCGGCTCAGGCGCTGCACCTGCCGATTCTGCAAGTTGTGCGGCTTCCTTCGTGGGGAGGCTTTGTCTCCGGGATTTGCTGGAGAGTGCAGGGCTTATAGTAGTGACACTGCAGTGGATAGAGGGAACGTAGGATATATAAGGCCATATGAAGGATACGACCTCAACATGGACATGAACATGGAGAATGAAATAGAAACTGGATGCATACTGCAGGGAGCACTTCGCGTGCAGCTACTGCGTGCTGGCCTTTTCGATCATCCTCTCACTATGATTTAGGGTTTAGGACTTTAGCATCTAGAAAGTTTCCGAGGCCCTTGTCATCGCAGCCTGTGCAGCAGGCTGGTCGCAGGGCTTCAGAGTGATCATGTCTGCTTCATCATGCTGCATGTGATAGTACATAATAATACGAATTTAAGAATAGCAGTAGTAGAAGTAGCAGTAGCAATAGCAATACTGATAAACAATAGTTATGGTCTAGCAATATCACTTGTAATAGCATGCTATAGCAATGGTAATTTGATCAGCGCTCGCATTTTGCCCAGTTCGCCCTCCTGACCTTCCTTCCTCCAATCCGTTGGAAAACAGAAGCGTGGCTAACCATCGATGGCACCCCTGTCCTTCATGCTTGTGGAGACAGGAAACGCGATTTCTTGGGTGTTCCCCACGAGAAGCACCGCAAAAATGAGTAGTGCACTGATGGAGCATAGAGGCCTCGAAATGGCCACCCTACACTCATTATAATGCCTACATGGACCTTATGTGGTATATTCCTTTATACGGTACAAACCTCCAGCAAGTAAACCCTAAACTGTGTGGGGATCGTGGTTGGGGCAACTGCATGGGTCAGGACCGGTGCTTCATATGGTTTAGGGTTCAGGGTTTGAGAATGATGGCCTTCAATCCCGACACGATGATTGTATACGATATTGTCTTGGGTAGTTGGGGGGCCTGCATTGCGAAACTTTGAGGGTCATTATAAGCATTTGTAACCCCACAGCCATACCCTCAAGCCTAAACGCTTCATAACCCTTTAGCCCTAGCAAGGCCTCCAACGTCATTCGTCAGTCTACAGGTTACCGGCTGGCTCTTGAGTTTGCCGCGGATAAAGTAGCACCACTGGCCCAGTTGGGCCGAAGAAATGTCGGCTTCTAACATCATAGAGGGCACCTCAAGTAGAGGTCAAAGAGTTATGGACGATAGCTTAGGCCGCCATATTAACCAAAAAGGTGGCTGGCTGGCAGCCAACGGAATATCCTAAACCCTATCCGAAACCGTGCATCTCAGCAGAAATCTTGAATAGGGGCTCGCAAGGACTTGCCACAGAGGGCTTCCAAGAAAAGCGGGATCCCTAAAAAGAGAATGACTATGTACTTGACGCCATAAAATGTGTGAAATAGACGTATTTTGTGATGCTTTTCGGGTTGCGACCACTATTGTACCCACCTTTGGGGTGTAGGTATTTCGGGACTCCTCTTTCTGGAAGTTAGTCTAGGGTTTAGGGTTTAGGGTTTGGGGATTAGATAGGGTTTAGGGGTTAAGGTTTTGGGTTTAGGGATTAGCGAGCAAGCAGTGTAGAGGCATCGGGATCTGGGCGCCAGAGCAAGCTTACGCCGGCACAAGCAAGACAGCCCAACTTGCCGTTGGCCTCTTGCCATTTGTTAGGGTTTAGGATTTAGGATTTAGCGGGCATTCACAAGTTTGCATCATTGTTGAACCTGCTTTTAACATGGTAAAAGCCAAAAAAAAAGAATTATGGAGGTTCACTCGCATTAACATGTTGTGAAGTGTTCTACCCAGATGAAATTGAGCTTCATCCCGAGATGTAAAAGACTCTACAAAGACTCACCGAAAACTTAACCCCACAGAACTGGAAAACAAAGAAAAACAAACTCGGGAAAAATGAAGAACACGAGTCAAGAAGCACTGAGTCAAGTTGCAAAAGCCCAACAAGTCCTCAAACACAACCCCAAAAGCTCAAGCTTCAAAACAACAACGTAAACTCAGAACAAACTCAGAAAAACTAAAGCAACTCCAGACATGTTACCTTCACAGAAGCTAGTAGAGAATTCAGAAAGCCGGTTGCTTCTTTAGTTTTGTGTGAGCTTTGCCCGAACCATTGGTTGAATTTGAGCCTGAGAATGATTCGGGGCCTTGAAGCGTCTAACAAAAAACGATGTCGGGCGTCTATGATAACATCGCAGCTTAAATGAGGAACTCAGAAATGGGCGTCCCCTCTGCGGAGTCCATTCAATCCTCCTGAGCGTCCCAAACACCCATAATGATGACCCCTATTCAATTTTTGGGTGATTAGTGGCCTTGATTCTTAGAGGTCGATGTGGAAATACCCTAAGCCCTCAACCCTAAACCTTAAACTGCGAGGGCGATCTAGACCTGAGGCTTCCCAGAGAAGGGGTCAATCCGACTTCATGGACATGGTGCGGGAGTTCAATGAAGGCTCGCTCCATGAGCTGTTTTGGCTCAGAGGTACTATTGTCTAAACTCCCTTAAAGGGGTGTTATATAGAAGATTATATAGGGGACTACAAAAGAGGTTATTAAGGGGGATACTAGGAGTTTAGACTTTTGGATTATACAGAGTCCTACGGAGTTATACGTTGCTATATGGCTATGAGAGGTTTGAGCGTTACATAGACTAGACCTCCGAATACCCATACCAATGGAGAATCAAGATGGAAGAAGAAAATGGATAACGAAATGGAAGCTGGGTGTATGTAGGAGTTATATAGTGGATACCTCAACCTCCCGAAGGCTCATACTAACAGCCTTTACAGTGATCATTTTCGGCTTGGGGGCCCTAAACCCCTAAACCCCTAAATCCTAAACCCTCAAGCCCAGATAAATACAAATTGTATAGTGAGAAAGTTAAAACGGAAACTCCGTCAAAAGTCGCTCAACACTTTCGACTCGAACCCTATACAATTTGTATAAACCCCTAAACCTTAAACCCTTTGTATATGGGTTCTTGGGAGGTGCGGATAAGCTGGCTCAGGTTCTTCTATCCCGCAGCCAAGTCCTGGGCTGGAACCTCAAAGAATTTTCAATAACTACCTGAACCCCAAAAGATAGCCTTTTGGGCTATATTTAGTGGTTTTGGGCGCTATGATTTTACCTACTTTTGGGGTCCAGGTAGGCTTGAGGGTTTTGGGCTAATTTATTTTGAGATTGCTTTGAAGTATTCTGTACCATGCTTCCACAAGGAATCTATGACCCTAATTTTGGTCAGGACTTGGGCCCCCTAAATCACAGCAATTGCCTCAGAACAACGACGCTTTTTTCAATCCAGGTCTGAAACGCCTGACCTGCTGCAGCGGCACCTCCACAAGGATTGGCTTTGCTTGCGGAAGTAGACCACACATGGACGCTGGCGACTGACCATGTGCCAAGATCGTTCATTGTGTTTCTAAGTGGGGGGTTTTCAGGCAAACGGCAATGTTGAAACGGACATCTATTTGTTGGAACCCCATTCCAAATTTGAGTGACGACCATGTGTGCTATTACTTTAGTACTGGGTCCTTCGCATCATCCAAAACTCTTGAACTACAGACCTTTCTGGCTTAGACTTGGCCTGTAAAGCACATCCTGCAGCTCCAATTTCTTAGACCCTAGAATTTCCTATTAGGACCAATAAGGGTAGACAACAAGAGAAATGTCAAGGTCTGATAGCGTCCTACTGAACGACCGTTGATCAGGAAACTCCGGCGATCGATCCCAGCAGTGAACTGCTTGCAGCCATCGTCGTTTTCCCAGAATTTCATTGGGTCCTATATTCAGTTGGGTTCCTTTAAAGGTTCAGGGCTTAGAATTTAGGCTAAGCTCCTTTGAACCGATTTCAGGGAGAGAGATATTATTGTATATGATGAGAGCTCTACACCCGCCCCACGTTAAGATCCCGCACATTCAGATACGAGCTAGATGAGCTCTAGATAAGGCGGGCGTGGCGGACCCAACGAAGATTTTGGGTTGTTGGTCCGAACTCCCAAAATCCCTACAAACATCCCCTAAACCCAACCCTTGACCCTAGACCCCCAAACCCCTAAACCCTAAACCTTAAACCCCAAACGGCATCCCAAGAACCGCTACCCCCGTTCCCTACGTACCAACTCCAACCCCAAACCCCAGACCCTAACTAGATTTAGGGATAGGATCTAGGGTTTAGGGCTTACCTAGGCCCCCATACCCTATCCCTTTTTAGGATACCTAACTGTATGTAGTATGTCTGCATCTTATATCTACACAAGTAAGTATGACAGACCCTGAAGTTGAGTATTACATTTTGTCACCTTGACAAGCCGGTGATACCTCATGGTGGCCATTTGCAAGTTTAGGGTTCAGGGTTTAGGGTTTAGGGATCCCTAAGGGTCCAGCTGTATTGCTGGGCAAGCTGAGCTAGAGTAGGGTTTAGGGTTTAGGACCCCTAAACAGGGCACTACCTTAGGGTTAGACTTAGCTTGTGGCTTGAACCTGTAAAGGAGAAAATCTGAACCCTCAATCATGTCCCCTCAAATAGAAAACCTAAGCCTTGAGCGCTTGCCAGAACCTTAAACCTTCATCCTAAACTCTGATCCCTCCCACCCTAAGCCCTAAATAGTAGTATCCATTTTACTTTCCATTATCCCATACATAAACCCAATATAACACAATAGTTCCCATTTTCTTTTCTATATTATACCCCTAAGCCCTGAACATCCCAGGCTTCTCGGCCGACGTTGCCTAGCCGTAGCACCAGCCAGCCAAGACCTGACAAGGCAGCGGCTGAATTTGGGATTTCGGCGGTTTAGGGTTTAGGGTTTGGGGTTTAGGCAAGGAAAACACTTTTTTGTACTCCGCGTCCTTTTCTAGCTGCAGGAACCTTTCTACGTCTGGTGTTTGACTTGACGTTGCCAAAAGGTGCTTTGGAGGAAAAGCCCTTTACCTGGCCCCCCTTGCTCACAGAACGCTTCTGGATCTGCTGTTTGACGTCCAAATCCTCTGGAAAAGAGTTCCGCACAGGCATCACCGCTTCAAAAGTTTCGAAGTGCTGGGACATTCTTCATGTACAAACCTCCTATGTGTCTTGCGGAGTCGCGGAGGCCTCTGACGTGTCATTTTCCTTGGCCCTGCTAGCGGAGTCGCGCCTACCCTGCTGTAAATTCATAATAGTTTAAAGTTCCGGAGGAGGCCCTAGAATGCCAGTGTAGGAGTTTAGGGGAAGGAGGGGGGTGAGTTTCGAGTACTTGTACGAATCTTCTTGTAAGTACCTCCATGAGTCGAACTGTTGTAGCACAGCAGCGTGGATTTGGGTTGCAAGAGTCAGACGCAAAGCGAAACGCCAGGCCAAGGAAAACACTTTTTTGTACTCCGCGTCCTTTTCTAGCTCCAGGAACCTTTCTGGGTCTGGTGTTTGATTTGACGTTGCCAAAAGGTGTTTTGGAGGAAAAGCCCTTTACCTGGCCCCCTTGCTGAAAGAACGCTTCTGGATCTGTTGTTTGACGTCCAACTCCTCTGGAAAAAGAGTTCCGCACAGGCATCACCGCTTCAAAAGTTTCGAAGTGCTGGGACATTCTTCATGTACAAACCTCCTACGTGTCTTGCGGAGTCGCGGAGGCCTCTGACGTGTCATTTTCCTTGGCCTTGCTAGCGGAGTCGCGCTTACCCTGCTTTGAATCTATCATACTTTAACGCTCCGGAGGAGGCCATAGGACGCCAGTGTGGGATTTTAGGGGGGAGGAGGGGGGGGAGTTTCGAGTATGTGTACGAATCTTCTTGTAAGTACCTCCATGAGTCGAACT